CCCGCTGCCGCGCTGCGGGAGGAAAGATGGGTGGGCTTGGCGGCTTCAAGGGCAAACGTGGGCAGCCCCAGGGCTCTGGCCGCACCGAGGCGCCCGAGCTCCCTCGAGGAGCGGCCCCCGCCGACCCTCCGCGTCCCGACCCAGGAAGTGGCTGCGGAGCGGCGGGCCGGTAGTGCCCAGCTCGGGCCACTCGCTGGGAGCTCGGCCGGCGGGGCGCGGCGTCTGGCGGAGCGTGCCGGGGAGGAGGCGGCAGCGCCGGGCAGACGGGGGCTCTGGGGATCCCAGGGTGCCCTGAGCCCGACTCCGACGGGTTGGAGGAGGGGGTGGGCTCGAGGCTCCACGTGTTGACTTGCTATCCGAATTTGCAACAGGTAGTGGGGGAGGGGGAGGAGCGCGGGCTAGCGGTGCAAGGTTGCAACTCGAGGTAGAGGAGGACCCCTCCCCCCACGCACGTCCTGTGCCCAGGCAAGGCACACTGAGCCGGCACCGGGCTGGCGAGTGCTGCAGAACAAAAGGGATAGCATACACCGTAAACTCTGCTGACGTCTGGAGAGCAAGTAATGGGCACCCAAGCAAGTCCTCTGCACAGCCCTGGGGAAAAACCCCACGAAGCGTGTTCCAGCAGCCGCAGCTGGAGCCCAGTCCCTGGGCAGGAGCGGGGCAACCTGGAGACAATGGAGGTCACTTAAACCCAGATCTCCAAGGGAGGTTCCATTCCTTTCAGCCATACCTCAAGGGCCAGGAAAGCCCCTTCCCGCTGTCTTCCTCCCCCTTTGTTGCTGCCACCGCTTTTCCCCTGGGAGTTTCTTCCTTCACCTTTGTTAATCTGAGCGGTCAGGGTGAAAAAAATGACAGACTTACCGTTTTAAGAGGTATGGGGCCTCCCCAGCAGGCGAGTATCTCTGTGCTGGAAGATGGCCAGTGTCCCTTTATTATTCTATGTAGTGCACACCCTTCAGAAAAAGGAACATCTCCCCCGCCCCAGCTTCAAAGTCTGACCAGCTAGCTCTATGACTTGGAGCAGATGCCTTTTGCTCCCTGGGCTTGATTTTCCTCATCTGAAGAATGGATTGATTGAGCCAGGTGATCTCTAAAGGCCGGTCCAGCCCTGGCACCTAGTGATTCAAAGTGTTAGTGAGAGCCGAGCTCACTTCATTCCCAGCAGCCTTGTTTAGGTGCAGTCACATTTGGCCATCTAATGAGAGGATGGAGCCTTGCAGGTGAATTCAGAGAAACTTCATAGGCCCTGGGCTTTGTAGACAGAGGTGTTGCTAATGTCATGAGAAGACTATCCTGGACTTGTCTTCCTGGTGGGCAGGATGGGGGTCACATCTGGCCACCTCCCTTTCCCTCCTCCCTGGCCTGTTTCTTTGTGGGTGATACCTCACTCAGAAGCCAGGCTGCCAGTTGGTAGCCATGCATAGCCGCGAAGTAGGGGGCCAGGGTTTCCGCTATGTCAGAGCGGCTAATGCACCACTGACCCCACAGGCCTTCTAAGGAACGGCTTGAGAAAGGAGAAAAAATTACTTCTTTATGGGGCGCCTGGATGGCTCAATTGGTTAAGCGTCCGACTCCTGATTTCAGCTCAGGTCATGATCTCAGGGTTGTAAGATGGAGCCCTGGGCGTGGAGCCTGCTTGGGATTCTCTCTCCCTCTCCCTCTGCCCTCCTCTCTCTGTCAAAAAATAAAAAATAAATAAAAATAAACAAACTTAAAAAAAATACTTCTTTATAGTTGGGGAAGCTCAGACCCAGAGTGGCGGGGGTGGAGGTGTGGCAGGCAGGGCAATATCAGGGCTGGAAATGGAGCTTAAGCCTTTGGATCCCCAGTAGAAAAATCCTAGATAACTTGCCATTTGCTCAAGATCCGTTCTCATACAGGACTTAGGTTTTTGCGCTGAGACCATTAATGAGAGCTTTTTCTTTCTTTTTTTCTTTTCTTTTTCTCATTCTGGCAGCTCCAAATGACCACTTGCTTTATAGCAACCGGTCTCAAATTTATTTCACCTTGGAGTCTCATGAGGACGCACTGCATGATGCAGAAATAGCATGTAAGCTCCGCCCAATGGGTTTTAAGGTGAGTGGAATGGGAGGGATGGGAATGGCTTGTCCTATAGACGGGAATTGGCAGGAGGGGCTGCCTCCCTGAGGGTTTGGGGCACTAGAGCTCAAGCAGAGCAGGGAAAAGGCTTTGCTAAGGAGCTGGGGGTCCCTTGGCAAAGGGTGACTCAGGGGTCTGCAAGGGAACTGGATTCTTCCCCAGTTTTCTTCTCCACCTGATGACTGCAGAGCAGCTTAGGCTTTGTGACTCTTCAGAACATGGACTTAGCAGTCAGACCACCTGAGTTTATGCCCCAGCTCTGCTACTTCTACCAGCTGTGTGGTCCTGGGCAAGTTACTTAACCTCTCTGTGCCTCATCTCCGCATCTCTAAAATTGGGAAGGGGGATATTCAATGCACCTACTTAACAGGGTTCCGTTGTGAGGATTACATGAGCTAATACATGTAAGATGCCTAGAACAATGCCTGACACATAGCATTATGTGTTCTATCATTTTCAGGGACAATAGAAAGAGGAACATGAGAGAAGTATTGCTGGCTGGTTGTGTTATTTCAAGTCCTTAATATAATCAGCCTGCTGGTATCCCCAAACATCTAGGTCACATGAAGGGGTGGTCAGAGAAAGGCTAGGCACCTCTCAGGATGCTAGGATGCAAAGTGTCACTTTCTGCATCTCTGGCCTCAGGACTGGCCCCTAGCTACGTGTCAATATTTTGTTTAGGAGATTAGGTTTGAGCCTGGGCTCTATTACTTGCACGTTAAGTGACCATGGGGAAGTCGCTTCACTCTCTGGACCCCAAGGGTCCTTGGTTGCAAAGCACAGCTATTGCTGTCTGCCCCACTTGCCTCCTGCGGAATGTGGTGTGAAGGTCACTGGTGAGCATGATCAAGAGGCCATTCTGGGAGCTCTGCCGTTTGCTAGGCCTTGGTGTAGTGTTCTCTCTATACAACCCCCAGGATGCCACCTCGGAAACCCACCTTACCCAGGTTCTGATCTGTGGTCCCTTATCTGATCTGTGAATCCCATGGGGCCAGAAGTGTTCAGAGTCCAGAACGTTTCTGATTTCAGAAAGACCATACACCAGGTGGCACCCTCAGTGAGCTCTGGACAGCATCTCACAATCATACACGCTAATATTTCTGCCGTACATTACATGAAAATTCACACTAAGTGAGATAAAGAATGTGACGTAATCTATATCATATATATTTGCCACCTAATGACTTTTGATGCCAAGCTTATGAAACTTTGGATTATCAGACTGTTTCTGGAATTGGGAACCTCAGATAAAGCATTTATGGACCTGCACACTGGGCCATTGGTGTGAGTGAATCTCTCATGTGCTTCGATGAGAAGGTTTTCATGGGTTATGGCAGTAGTATGTTCTCCTTACCAAGGAACAGATTTACAGTTTACTAAAAGTCACCAGTGTCTTGATCCAAAGGAGCTTCAGTGAGAACGTTTTGTGCTGTATAGCAGCACAGGTCAGGAAGCTGCCTGGGGGTAAGAGGACTTCTCTTGCAGCTTCTTCTGCTCCCACCCTAAACCTAGGGCCTAAAGGTGGGAACCTTCATAGTACAGTGGGAAGCAGGGCTGAGAAGTAGTAGACCTTTTCAGATGAAATGGGAAAAGTGACTTCCCCAGTGAAATCAGACTTGGTGGAAATAGTAAACAGGAGTTTCATTTCCCCAGAGTGCTGGGGTAAGCGGAGAGGCAGTGCAGAGAATGACCGGTATTGTCTTGAGGGTTGAGAGAAGATTTGAACTGATGCGTATGATTCAAAACCAGCCCATACTCTGATTTGCATACTTCCCACCATTTCTTTGTGCAATGCCCCTAGGGGAGGGCTGTACCTCCTGCAGCCCTAGTCCAGCCAGTCCAGCCAGGCTCAGTGGTACTCAACACATCCTGCAGGTGGGTGGGCTGGCTGGCCTGAGCAGGTGGAGTATATGGGTTGCTCTTTGGTACGATTGGAGGGGTCCTAGAGGCCTCTCCAGTCTCCCAACACTTATCCCCCCTAGCTGCCCTGAAATGTCGTGCAAGCCTTTCTCCAGGGGGCCCCTGGTAAACGCTGCTGGGAGGAGCAATGAAGGAAGCCATCAGCACCCAATATCAGCCAAGATTAGGCTCCAGGAAAAGGGTGGGGGTACAGGGGAGGACCTCAAGAGGTTTGGAGCAGGGGTCACAGCTCAAGAAGGCAGATCCCTGCCGGTGGAGACTGTAGCCAGGTCGGAGCCAGAGGGCACTGCCCCAGGGCCTGTAAAAGCATGTTAGGAGGGGAAGCTGGGAATGCCCAGCAGCTGCAACCTGGATCATTTCCTTCTCTAAGTTAGACTCAGGGTCAGTCGTGGAGGCAAGGGAGTGGGGAGCAGGCCCCTGAGGGGCACCCTAGCTGACTCAAGAGCAATGCCCTCCCAGCCAAGTTGCAAAGGCCACCTGTCCCAAGGCACAAGAGAGAATGTAGCCCTCTTCCCGCCTCTTTTCTTGTTCCTCCCTCTTCCCCAAGATGCTCTTCTGTTACCTCTAGAGTTTCTCTGCCGGGGCAGCTGGGCGGGGACCCCGGAGAGCCCTAAAACTTCTTTATACTTTTTTTTTTAAAGATTTGTGGGGGAAGGGGCCAAGGGAGAGAATGTTCAAGCAGACTCCCGCCAAGCAGGGAGCCGATGCAGGGCTAGATCTCACGAGCCAGGAGATCAGGAACTGAGCCGAATCCAAGAGTCAGATGCTTAACCAATTGAGCCACCCAGGCACCCCTAAAACTTCTTTATACTTTTTAAAGATGTGGGAAGGGAACAGAAGTGAGGTGAGCCCACAGGAGGGAAAGCATTTGCTCAGTCCCTGGTTAGCCCTTTGAAGAGAAGTCAGCTTTGTGGGGAAGAGCATTCTTGGGGTCCTAGACCACAGTTCTAGTTCCAGCTTTGCCACTAACTACCTTGAGGTCTTGGAGAGGTCATGTCCTTTCCCTTGGGCCTCTTCTGAAAAATGATCAGCAAGTATAGGCAATCACTCAGCCAGTAATGTGGACTAGGTCTTTGCTTGACAGACTAGTTAATAGAAAGGCCTATCTGGGTGGGTTCTGGACGCTGGATAGTATGTGCTTAAATGAGGGTCCTTGCTACATTTGGCAATACCTCCAACACAACAGTGGGGCAGCGGGGAGGTCGTATGGCACAGTGGTTAAGAAATGGGACTTTGGTATCAGTCAGTCCCAGACTTAAACCTTGATTCCACAATTTACCATCTGTGTTCCTTTGGGCAAGTCACTTTTCTGAGTCTCAGTTTCATCTTTTGTAAAATGGGCTTCAGAACATTTGCCTACAGATAGGGCTGTAGATAAGGTAGTCCTTCTAAAACCCTTCACAGAGTAATGAATACTCACTAAGTGTTTGGCTAGTGTCAGTAAGTCAGTAGGTGAACAAGAACAGGATTGAATGCTAATGTTTTCTTCCAGGCACACTTCAGAAAAGCACAAGCCTTAGCCACCTTAGGCAAGGTGGAGGAAGCACTAAGGGAGTTTCTATATTGTGTGTCCCTCGATGGAAAGAACAAAAGAGCAAGATCTGAAGCCCAGAGGGTGAGTTGAGATGATGTCAGGTCCAGCTGTCCAGTGGGCTCCCACTTCTCTGTCTTCTCCAAGGAGGGGAGTGAGGGAACTGCCCTTCCTGGCATTTAGGGCCCTAAGTGGGTGGCTCCCTTGGTTAAGGGGGCAGGAAGGAGACACAAGTGCCAATTGCCTAGAAACACCATCCTCTTGGCATATGCAATCAGATTGAGCAGTTCCTGCATTTTTGGAGGAGCCTCCGAGGAATGTTCTTGCTTCTTAGATTCAGGGTCTGGGTTGTGAGTAGGAAAACCAAAGCAAAGCAAAGCAAACAAGTTAACATGGGGGTGGAGGCTCACTGCTGAGAATCTGGCTGTTGATGAGAGGTCAGGGGTTTGGGGCTGCCTGCAGTTGTAGAGCTTTGCTTTGGCTGAGTCACAGCTTCACCAGCCACACAGGGCAGCCAGCTCCTCGCCAGGAATGTTGGTCACCCTCTCCCCTGCTATATGCAGAACTCCAGCCTTCAGCCTTTGCTAGAAATAGAACACACACTGTCTCACAAATGTAAGTCAGGGACCATTACGATATAATCCAAGCAGTCATTCCAACTCTTGAATCCCAGGAGAATGTGGTTCTTTTGTTTTGTTTTTTAATTCATGAAATGTTAGCCCTGGTGAAGGGCTCAAGTGTCCTCAGTTCATGAACTGCTTTGCTTACTGTTCCACAGTGTGCTTTCATGGTGTGTGGCTAATCGGCCCGGAAGTTGGATGCTGACAGTCAGTGGTGGCCTCTGCCCTCCCCGTGCCCCTCCCGCTATTCACCACCTGTCTCAAGTGCCTCTGTCCCAGTGAGGTTTGGCAGAGTCATGGATGAAGGAAGGGAGCAAGAGACCGGATTGGTTTCTGAAGGCTCCAGAAAGGAATCTTTAGCAAAATCAGTGAACTAGGGGAAGCCAAGCTCTGGAGGTTGCACCTCGCACAGATTTCTTCTCTGGAAAGTTGCTTTCACCTGGTTTGGGAAAGTGGACAAGGTGTTCTTGAGAGGAGTACTGGTGGCAGAGAATTGCTCCAGGCTGTGAACCCTTCCCTGAATCTTAAGTGTAGTCCATGGTGTAAATAATAGTAATAACAGCTGACATTTATCGAGCATTTCCAGTGCACCAGGCACTGTGCTAGGGCTCTCTGTGGAGAATATAATTTAATCCCCACAACGTCCCTATGAGGGTAGCTGATGTTATTTGTCCCCATGTTACAGAGGACATAGATGAGGAAGCCGAGGCTTGGTGACTTCCCGAGACCATGCAGCTGGTGCTTGGTGAAAGGGCACGTAAACCCCACTCCATCTGCTTCCAGAGTCTGCCTTCCTAGCCATTCCACCATTCTTCTGTCCCAGGAGGACATGCCAGGGGGCTTGGCGCTCACTGCTGGGGTGGGCTGGAGAGTAGCAGTGGGACCATCCGGTTCTGGGAGTGGGGGATGGACAGAGGTTGGTTAGAAGAATCTTGACTTTAGGGGCAGAGTGTGCAAAGGCCAACAGAGGCAGGTGTCAGATCCAGGGGTGAGTGGTTTCTTTACTCCTGTTCGTCCATTTCCTACTTGGCCTGAGAGGCTCTGGTGTCATCAGTTGGGTTGACCTCTCTCTCCAGCCACTTTTAGAGACCAGCTAGTGTCACTTCCACAACCACCAAACGGGATGGGGCAAAGTGCTGTGCTAAGCTCTGGAGACCCAACGAGGCATAAGCCACAGTCTCCGTCCTCAAGGACCTTCCAATCCTGCATGTGTGACACAGCACCCTATAAATGCCAGAGAATACAAGGGAGCAGATGCCCATAATGAGTGTCCTGGAGTTCTGAAGCAGGGCCAAGAATTTAGAGGCGAATTCCCACTGACTGTGATGAGGGCACGGCAGCCATATACGAACACTGAGGGCCCTCAGCACTTCTTATTTACTGTACCGTTCCAGTTTCAGGGCTGAAGATTTGACAAAGATGGTCCAGGTTCACTTGGCAGTAATTAGCTACCTTAGGCACTCCCAGGCCTAGGTTTCTTTTTAGCGTTTGTTTTTACCTCGGATTCTTTTTTTTCCCCCTTCTTGACTCATTCGGGTCTTTCTAAGGCTGACACTGAAGTGGAATTGACTTTCATTCACATGGAATGATTATTCTCACTGAGCGTTGACCCCAACTTTTGTTTTCCAAAGGTCTAGAATGAGGTCTTAGGTAGTAAAGGTAAGAAGTGAAGTGTTGTTGCTGTTTCTGCCTTGTCTCCTTCTATTTCTCCCCTCTGCCTCCCTTCCCACCCCCCTCCATGCTCTGCCCTTTTAACGTTGTCCCTTGGGATGCTGTGTGGCTGCCACTGAAGAGCACCATGCTCTCTTTTCGAAAGTTTTTATCTCAATTCCAGTTAGTTAACATACACTGTTATATTAGTTTCAGGTGTACAACATAGTGATTCAACAATTGCATACATCACGCGGTGCTCCTCACGACAAGCAAGCACTGTGCTCTTTGGGGGAGAATTCCAGGGAGACTGCTTCAGAAGTGGGTTGGTCCTGTTGGGCCACTCAGGAGGGCTTCTGAAGGCCAACTTTGGTTCCTCGGGAGGAGGGGCCTCTGAAAGCTGGCATTTATGGCCCTGGGCACTGTGAGTACCTCCCCACCTCACTCCTTTACCGACAACCTAAACCTGGGAAGTGGGTTTCCCAGAGCTGGACGGAAATTGCGATCTGTCTGAGGACTTTGGGCTTGAACACTTGGCCTCTGTCTGGGCCCTGGGATGGATAAGTGTCTTAATTCAATTCCGTCCGGGGTGATGAGTATGCATTGGACATCTGCCATGGGCCTCCAGAAGCTGGCCATCTGGTTAGAGGGAAAGACTTACGTGTGCAGCACAATTCTGAGACTAGGGCGAGACCGCATAGTATAAGGTGCTCCATTATGTGCAGTAGAGAACACGAACGGACAGGTGACATCAGGGGGCTAGAGTTGTAGCAACGGAGCTAGCCTTGGAGACTGAGCAGGGTTTGGCTATGTGGAAAGTGCTGACGTCTCAAGGAACATCGTGAAGGCACTGCTGGGGGCCGGCAAGGGGACAAATTAAACTGGACAGGGTTTGGTTGGAGTTTCTGTCAGCCTCCTTTGATCAGTTCATACCCTATTCCGCTGAGCAAGGGCGTGGAGCATCCTTTAGTGGGTCTCCAGACACTGCAGCGGCTGCCCAGTGGTAAACATTTCAATGTGTGTTCAAAGCCAAGCGAGCCGCTTTCTTGTGTTTCACGTTACATACAGTATGTCCACGTGTCTATCTGTAACCCGTGCTGGCACAGGGGAGAATTGAAACAATGCGGGCAGCTCGTGGCGAAGCCTGCATGAGAACACACATCCTTGACTCCCAGGCCCTTCTGGGTCCTCTGGGTCTTCACCTGCCACCTCCCCCGCCCCCCACATTCTCTAACCTCAAGGGAAACCAGCCCCAGACTGGAACCCGCCTGCCTCCAATACTTGAAGTTACCCAACAGTCTCTGCACAGTAAAGGCCAGAATGGGGGAGGAGAGGCTGGGTTTTGCTCTTCCCACCACTTCACTGTGGAAAGGATTAAAGGTCCAAGGAGGATGGTCCGGGAAGGAGGGAGCAAAATGGGCCGGCAGGGGAAAGACATGGAGGAACCTAGAAGACACGTGTAGACTTCTGTCCACGGGCGTACTACGGACGTGACTGCAGGTCCCCCGGTGTTGTTTGTCTCCTGCCTTCACCTGTCTGTCTCTTTCCTCCTAGATAGGTCTTGAATTTCCACTGCAGATATTTCTATGGAATGGTAGCTTGGGAGTGATGGTTCTTAACTTTGGCTAGGGTGACAAAGGCATCTGTGGTGCCATTTTGAAATCCAGATTCTGGGGCCACGCTTCAGACCTGGGGGAGCCAGGCGTGGGAACTTGGAAAGTGGAGTGGTCGTAAGCTCCCCAGGTACCTCTGATGCACGCCGAACTGAGGCCCCCTGCCCTCGTATGTTGGGGTCTCTGGTTCCAGGCTGCTTCCCTGGAGTTTCACCCCACGAACTGTGTCCCCTGCCCCTTCCTCCCCCTCCCCCCCCCACCACCCAAGCACCTGTAGAAACTTAAGCAGTGAAGTCTTCTGTTTTATGTCACAGCTTCTCCTTAGTTTCTTTTCACCATCAGTCCCGGGGGACTCTCAGGAACATTTTCCCGATATCCTGAAGTTGTTGGCACCTCACCCTAGATTAAAGGAACACGTAGAATCAATGGCTACTGAAGGCACCAGTCATAATCTACCAAAGTTGTCACAGGTAAAACTCAACTCGCCCAGCTCGCTCGCGATGCTTCGTTTGGCTGTTGTGTGGGCAAACGTGGGAGTGAGCCCTACCTCTCCTTCGGTTCCTGAAAAGGAAGAAATGGAGTCGCTAGTGGTTGTGTTCTTTGCTAGAAGGTTATTTCTTACAGATAAACTGGATTTCAGGCACGGTCCCGGGGGAGTTTGGTTTTATTACCTTCATTTTTTCCAGTTCTTGGTCAGATCCAGCTGAGAGAGAGATTTAGTAGAAGTAAAAAGGAGTTGGCCCGCTTCCCCTGGAACCATTCAGTCCTGGCGGCTTTATCAGCTTAGGGGCGGAGCCTGGGAAGAGGCCTAATAACCCCTCCTTTCCTGCTTTTTTTGTTTGTTCAAGCAGCTGGTCTTTGAGCACCAGCTGAGTTCCTTGTGCAAAGACAGCTCCATTTGATCCCCAAGTGGAGGTAATTTTATATTCCTGCACGGTGTCTTACACATCAGTAGACTTCCAGGACGTACTCGTAGCGAGGAAGAGGGAAGCAATTTGGGAAGCATTAAGTCCCTGGGAGGAAGACGGGTGTTTGGGCCCATCTTTGAGAACAAGAGAAGAGAACCACGGAGAGCTGGGCTCCAGGCCCTGGCTTTCCCAGCAGAGGGCAAGTAGCCAGAAGCTGGGGCTCAGAAGTCCAGACTTGAAGGCAGAATTTAGCCCTGAAAACCTAGGCTCCTTGAGGCAACAGTCTCCCCTCCATCCGTGCCGTGTGTCCTTCCCCTGTATGGAAGCCCTGTGATCTCCCATGGTTTCTTGGGTTCTCTGACAGGCAGGAAACTTAACATTTTCCCTGCTTCTCTCCCCACTCTTGAGAAGAAATAAAAAGTAGGTGTGCCTGACTTAAAAAAACAAAACAGAACAAAAAATGGGGCAGAACCGAGTATCTTCTGAGGTCAGAGAACCCCTAGTGCATTTCAGTAATGTTGAGATCATTAGTACATGACTGAGAACACTAATAGTGAACTGAAGAAGTGCCTGGAGTGACTCCTCATTGCAGCTCAATCAGAAATGAAGGAATGAGGTGAGCCAGCTGTGGGGAATGGGGGATTGAGCTTCCACATAAACTTTGCTTTGCAAAGCAGTGTACTCCCATATGGACAATGCCTGGGGCTCAGGGAAAGTTGTGCTGCAGATCCCCTGAACTCCCCAGGTTAGAGACTGAGAAAACCCACATCCTTTTTCTTCTTGCCTCACTGTTCTCTCCCAACTATATACTCCCCATTTTCCATCTATCTACCATTTTGAGGGGCTAGGGGTTGGAAGGAAAGAAAACAACATGAGCATTTGGACCTGTGGACTATGGATTTAGAGTAGAGTTCAGGGTTCTCCAGATAAATCTGCACAAACACCTTGTCATTGGATTTATTTCTAGATTCATTTTCAAATGCTCTCTCCTGGACAAAAATTCTTGAAAAGGCTAGAGACATTATTGGTCATTTTACCAAATGACTTGTCTCTTTTTCAGACTTCTCACTCAAAATCTAGTCAAAAGAGTAGTTTGTCTTTTGACTAGTATAACATGGAGTTCTTTTGACTAGTGTAACAAAGAGCTCTGGAACCTGAGGTGACTCCGCAGGCCTGTGAACACACCTGTGCCAAAGCCTTAGCGGAAGTCCTTTTGGAGCTGGTGTGGGGCTTGCAGATGGCCTGGAGTGGCCGTGAGAGCAGCCGGAGATTGAGTGATAGGATCTACCCTCACTGTGTGCCTTGGTTTCCCTCAGGTAGTAACTGGGGAAAGATTTGGCCAGGAGAGGGGCGGGTGCCCCACTCTCTATCTGTCCCCTTCACCACGGCCCAAGGTGTCTGTCCTCTATACACCTTTCCATCCTTGCCTAGGGAAGTTCTTCCGTTTCACCCAGGCCCGGCATGCCTTCATTGGTGATGCTGTGTGGCCAGAAGGAGGAAATATGTCTTCTCACTGCCCCCCAGTTAAGCTGTGTGTCCACTCAGTGATCAGGGCTACGTAGTTTTCTCTCTGTCCCCGGTGGGTAGCAATGTCAGAGGATGGACGGTGCTGGTCTTAAGGGGATACTGACATTTGGCTCTTTCTTCGTCCAGGAAAAGCCGGAGCTCCCACACTGTTCTAGTCAGGAGGAAGCGGCGGCGGGGGGAGACCGCAGCAGCCTGGCAAACCCAGTTAAAGTAGAGGGGGAGGGGCAGCGAGGCGACCAGAAAGGCCAGGCAAGAGACAAGGAGGAGAAGGGGGACGCTGCCTCCGCCAAGGCTGGCAAATGCCAAGAAAAGAAAAGGAAGCATTGTCAAATTGGAACCCAAGACCCAGAGGTGCCTACTAAAGCCTTGAAGCCAGGTACTGACTCTACCCAGGGAGAAAGGGGCCTAGAGGAGGTGCCGGGGCTCACCAGCGTCTGCGGGTTACTTGGCCTCCGTCGGAGGGCTCCGTGGGCTCCACGGGCTCCGGATGCGCAGCCCAGCTCTGGCACTGAGCTCTGCCACCTCGGGGCGCCGTGAGGCCTCTGGGAGAGCCCACACGGTACCTAGCATACTTCTGGGGTCCACTAATAATAAGGAAGAGCCAAGGCATAAGGTCAGGCCCCGTTTCGAGTAATGACACCTCACGCCCTTGATGGCGTCCCCTCCTTCCAGGCCCACCTGCCCCCACCCTCGTCTCCACTCCAGGACCGGAGGAGCAGGGAGGTGTGTTCAGGCCTTGCAGCCGCCTCCCATCTTCCCAGAGCAGGCTGGCAGTGGCGGGATTCAGTACCAGCCTTGAAGGCCTGGCACGGACCGTGGAACTGCTGCTACTTCTGTCCAGTGAGGTGCCCGTTGCATCGGAGTCCAGTCCGCAGGGCTCTTGGACATTCCCGGCCTCACATTTTTGTTCCTATGGGGCTGCCGGCAGCCTCTCGGAGCCTCCTTCGGGGTACCCCATTCGCGGTGGCTCAGGTGGCCCCTGAATCTACCCTCTCGGAGGCAGGCTGAGAGTGGCAAGCTAAAAAACTGATGGGGTTCTTCTGCCTCGGGAGTGCTGTCTGTGAGAGCAGGGTTGGTCCATCTCTGACTTACTGCGTTCTTAAATCGCAGACCCTCCGGCTGAGCAGTGGGCCGAGGCTGCTGTCAATGCTCCACTGCCATCCTCTGTGGACGCGTCTGACCTCGAATGCGCCCTATGTATGAGGTACGTGATGGGGACTATCACCTATTGCCTGGACCTTCTTCTTCTGGGGAGTCTGGACCTTTTGGCTAGTGACCTATTGTTTGGTTGGTTAGCACGGAAAAGCGTGGTTCTAACAGAATGCAAATCACGCTGTTGTTTGTCACACGGGCTAGCTTGTGTCCCTTGCTTACAGATTATATTCCCTGCACTCCTGACTTGGAAATACCTAAAGAGTGGGGAGGAGATGGTCTAGTCAGAGGTCACAGACTGATGGCCACACTCTGAATGTCTTTAGTTTGGCCTTCATGGGACTTTTTTTTTTGGTTGTTGTTAAATGCTTGGCAATAGGACATACACTCTCCAGTTAGCCGTGGTTCCCCTCTCTCCCAACTGCCTGTGTCTCATGTTTGCATTACTTTCCTGGTACCTTGTAGGTATTTTGAGTTCATGACCCTGGAACTAATCTCAACTACTGGATCAAGGTCTCAAAGCTCAAGGGCTAATGTCAATACCATAGGCCTATTCTTTGGAAGCCAAGTAGAGGGCCTGACTGGTTTTCGTTTGAACAATATTAGTAGTAGGCATGTACTACTTGGCCAGGCATCCCTTCTGTATCCAGCGGGGAAGCAAATTATCCACACACCTGCCCACCCCCCTCAGAAAAAAAGGAAGCTGGTACAAGCTTGGGCTTTGTGAAAAAAAGTACTTTCGTTTGTTTCCTTTCACAGCTGTGACTTGGTGGCTACGAGGAGGAGCTCCAAAGCCAGATGGCCTGGGCTTGAACCCTGGCTCTGCCACTTACTGGCTGTTTGACCTAGAGCAAGTGATTTTCTCTGCCACTGTTTTCTTGTCAGTAAAATAGAGAAGAGTAGTACCTACCCTATGAGGTTGTTATGATTAATTGAGAGAATCTATTTAAAACACTTAGAATAGTGCCTGACATAGTAAATACTCCATAAATGTTAACTCTTTTTCTAGACCTGAGATTCTTTAACTTTAGGCCCACAGACCCCTGAGGAAGTTCTATGTGTGGATTCTAAAAGATCTGTGAATTCCCTGAAGTTGTATGCAAAAATGTGTGTGTGTGTGTGTGTGTGTGTGTATGTTTTCAAACAAAGGTCCACAGATTTCAGTAGATTCTCAAAAGTGTCTTTTTTCCCCCCAAAATAGCATTAAAAGAAGGCTGAGACATTTGCATAAAAGTTGTTAAGATGGTTGACCCAAGAGATGTCAAGAAAAATCCTGTGGTCTACCACACAGTGGGATCCAGCCACCCAAGGATCCTGAGATGTTTTCTTGCCCTCTGCAAGCACGTATGCCTTCCATATCAATCACATGCATTTGTATTCGGAAGGACTTTTCTTATCCACATAAAAATGAGTAAGGAGACCATTACCTGGACGTGTACTTTTACTTTCTCTTAAAAATAACTGAATTGTCATATTTGCTCCTGGGCTCGGGCAGACCTGAAAACGAACAGTTCAGCAGATGAATGCAGCAGCACCGAAAGAAAGCCTTCCAGATACAATCGGGGAGTTTTAGGTGGAGTGGGTGAGAGTGGGGTGGGCTTTGTAACCAGTTCCCTTTGACCATCTCCCTGTGTCCCCCTCACAACAAAGCGCCAGGTTGGTCATGGTGGAGCCAAGGTATGAGGCAGAAACTCTGCTTGCAAGCAGAGAAATGGGCCTCCGCCATCGGGCCTCTAAGCCACAGTCTTTCAGGTGTCAGACTTTGCCAGACTTGGTTTAACTCGTTCAGAAAGCCCAAGTCTTTGCTGGACGTATCCTCCTTAATACTCCCAACATCCAGCCAACAAAAAATCAAACACACAGACTCATCCTGTTTGTGTTTTTGCTGAGGGCTCAGAATCCTGAGGTTGGAGTTCTTTTGTTCTGTTTCCTCTGCTTTCTCCCTTTCATCTTGTTTGTCCCTGATCTCAACAGGGGGCTTCAGAGAAGAGTTAGAAATTTGCTCCAAGAAATAAACACCAAGAGGATAAGACCCCCTTCTGGTTTGCTCACCCTGAGTTTAAAAGCCATTATTTCCCTTATCCTGCCCCTCTGTTCTAAATGAGACTTCAAAACAAAAGCCCAGCTTTGTCTGGGGTAGCTGTCGTATAGGCTGGTAAGTTTTAAGGGGACTCCAGATGCCTCAGGGTACAAAGGAACCTGCCAAGTCCAGAGGGCATCTCTGACCCCAAGGCTCTTAACTGTAGCCCTTGGGGCACCTGGGTGGCTCAGTCGGTGAAGCGTATGCCTTTGGCTCAGGTAATAATCTTGGGGTCCTTGGATCGAGCCCTGCGTTGGGGGGTCCCCACTCAGCAGGGTGTCTGCTTCTCTCTTTCTCTCTCTCTCTCCCCCTCTGCCCCTCCCCAACTTGTGCTCTCTCCCTCTCTCTCTCAAATAAATAAATAAAATCTTTAAAAAAAACTGTAGCCCTTGGTCAGAAGCATGTAGCTCCCCTTCTAACAGGGTTTGTAAAGCAGAAATCAGATGTTGACAGGCAGTTCATATACATGCTTTAGTTTGAATACAGTCTTGACAAAGTTCCTGTTTCCACCTCTCTAGGGCTTTTTTCCCTTTTTATTGTCATTAGGATTATTGTCAGGTTCTATTATGACCCTCATGTGTCTTTGAGCGAGAGGGTGTCTAAGGGTTGAGATATTTCCAAACCATCTGCTGGGTCATGAAACTAGGCATTTGTATCTCCTCTACAAGTTTCTAGAATGAAATCCAGTCCCATGGCGCTGCATTAGTAGAAGGCAAGTTGGAGTGTGAAGTTCATCTGACTCTAGAGGGAAACTCGGGAGCCACTTGTACGTCTTGCTGGGAAAAGGGTGGAAAAAGTGAATGGCACAAGAATTGGAGCGTGCATTAATGAGACACTTTCCAATCTCCCAAGTCCCCCGGCTGGACTGGGAGAACTCTGTTGAGGGAAGTTGTTTCCTAATTCCAGCCCCTCAGAACTCTGCCCCTCAGTCTTTCGTGACTGGAAACCTTCCCTTAAGATTTAGCCAGCTGGATACTCTCGCCACTGGGGTCCACCGCTGGGGCTGTTGTGGAACAGCGCCTTTGGGGTGACAAAAAGATATTTTGAAATGTGGAACAAGAATGTTTGATATTTGAACCAGTTACCTGATGGCCCAGTGACCTCTTTGTCAATTGAAATGAAAACTTTGTATTTAACCTAGTTTTAGCTACTCAAATAGCTGGGTGTTAAGGAGTCTGTTCCCCCCACCCCCACCCCCGTCTCTCTCCTTCCTTCCCTCTCTCTTTTTCTTTCTCTCTCTCCACCCCGCTCCTTCTCAGTCCCTCCTCGCACTCATTTGATAGCAGCAGAAGAACACAATACAAGGATGTAACTGGTGGGAAAAGATAGCTATTTCCAGACAGGCCAAGCATTTTATCTGGGCTGACATCTAACTGAAAACATTTATTATTACTATTGTTTACTCCACCACTGTGACAATGTAAAATGCTTTCTTGTGAGAAAATCTGGCTCTAGTCTGATTTATAAATGCCTCCCTGAAGTGTTTCCTGCAATCATTACCTAAAGTGGTAAATAAAAGGTAGAGGACTTCAAGTATATACCTATTTCTAGCTCTATCTATATATACAGAGTTCTCTCTCTCTCTCTCTCTCTCTTTCTCTCTCTCTCTTTCTGGGGTGGGGAGAGAGAGAGGGAGAGAGAAAACTGTGTTGTCAGTACATGCATCTACACACGGATGGATGATGTCTGTTCTAGATAGAGATGTGCACACTGTCGCAGCTGTGTCAGAGAGTGGAGCAGGAAGATGAGCTTGGAAATAAGGTGTGACTTCACACCCCAAGCCCTGCTCCTTCCTAGCTAGCTGTGTGACCTTGGGCAAGTCATTTAACCTGTCTGAGTTTTAATTTCCTCAGTAGTAATATATGAAGGTAATTTATATGAAAAACAGTATTACACACACCAAGAATAGCAAGAGAAATATACTCCACCTGTTTCTTGTCACCTTACTCCGTCAGCCTTTGTAGAGGAGCAGAGTATCCCTGAACATAGAAGTGACTTGAGTCTTGAAAGATGATAGATTCTGAGCATCTGAACTTTGAATTATTTCAAAGCAGTCATTATGCAGCATCTGTAGCAGCCTTCTTGTCTGCGACCACTCAGATCGGGGCATTTTAATCACAGTTCTTGCTAAGAGTTGCTGTTTCCTTTTGTGTCTGTTTCGTTCATCTGCTATTAAATGTCAGTATTTATTGCAGTTAATTAGCCAGCGATATCACTGCTATTTTACAAAAGGCCCGATTTTGAAGTTCTCAGGAAAAACAGTTTAGCAGGTACAAATTCCTCAATCATCATCATCATTAGTGTCATTGACTAATGTGTAACGAGTTTTCAGATTCATAGGACTCAAATTACTGAGGAAGTGAGACTTTCTGATTTGGCTGCTCCAGGAGATCACAGCAATGGTTTCCAAATCAGCCTGCAAATCACACTTGTGAGAAACATTCTAAATTGTGAAATACACACAGTGGAAAAGTACATAAAATTAAAATTCTATTCTCTTAACAAAATTCTGTAGAGAGGATACTCATGCAGTCCTTCTCAGTTCAAGAAATGAAACGTGGCCAGGACCCCAGAAGCCTCCTGTGTGCCGCTTCCAAATCACGACCCCTTGCCCCTTGCCTGCTGAAACTACTATCTTGACTTTTCTCTCTTCTTTTTAAAAACATTTACCACCCATGCATGCATCTCTAAATGGCGTAATTTAGTTTTACCTATTTCTAAAACACTTTATATAAATTGAACTATCCAGAACATGTTTCTTTTTGTGCTGGCTTCTTTTCCACAGAATTAAGGTTTATTCGTGTTGCTGCATATTGGTAGAGTTTGTTCATTTTCATTCATTTATAGTGGCCCATTGTAAGAATCTACCACAGTTTCTTTGTCAGTTCTGTTATAGACAGATATTTGGGCTGTTCCTAGTTTGGAGCTATTATGGCCAGCGTTGCTATGAGCAGTGTTTATGTATGCTGGGGCATATAAATCTTAGCCCATATTGGATTGGGTTATCTCTCCTTTTCTTACTGACTTATAGGAGCTTTATGTATGTTGTAGACATAAGTCCTCTGTTAGTCAAGTGTGCTGCAAATACCTTCTCCCACTTGTGGCTTGCCTTTTTGCTCTCTTAATGGCATCTTTTGATGAACTTACAAGTTCTTCATTTTAATGCAATGAAAATTATCAGTCTTTTCGTTTATAGTTAGTGGCGTTTTTTTTCCTTGTCCATGTCTTGCCTAAAAAATCTTTTTTCTTTTACCTTGAGGTCATCAAGATATTCTATTGTGTCTTCTAAAAACTTCACTGTTTCACATTTACCTTTCCAGCCCACATGGAAGTGATTTTTGGGTATGGTGTGAGAGATGGCCCAACTTCATTTCCCCATCTGGCCAGCCAGCTATCCCAAGTAGCATTTATTGAGAATGCTATTCATGTATTGAAAACCCCCCTCTGCTTTGAAGTGCCACAGTTGTCATAAATCAAGAGTCTGGGTCTTGGTCTATTTCTGGGCTTTCTATTCTATTCACGGGTCTGTTTGTCCTTGTGCTAGCCCTATACTGTTTTAATCACTACAGCTTCGTAATAAGGTCTGACGTCTGGTAGAGCAAGGCCTCCCACACTGCTGCTCTTAGAAGTGTCTCCACTCCTCTTGACCCTTTGCCTTGCCTTATACAGTTTAGAAATCAACTTGGCAAGTTCCATAAAAACAAACATGTGAAATAAGCCATTGGGATTTTTATCGGGATTAATCAGGTCTTCTTTACTTCTCTTCGATGAGATGTTTACAGTTCTTTCCATCAGAGGTCTCGTACAACTTTTGTTGGATTTATTCCTGGGCACTTGATTTCTAAACGTGATTGTAAATGTTACTTTTTTATTTATTTATTTTTTAAAGATTTTATTTATTTATTTGAGAGAGAGAGAATGAGAGACTGAGAGCACGAGAGGGAAGAGGATCGGAGGGAGAAGCAGAACCCCTGCTGAGCAGGGAGCCTGATGTGGGACTCGATCCAGGAACTCCAGGATCATGACCTGAGCTGAAGGCAGTCACTTAACTGAGCCACCCAGGCGCCCCTAAATGTTACTTTTTTAAAAAATGTGTTTTCTTATGTTTTTTGCTGGTATATAGAATACAATCGTGTGTGTGTATTTATCTAACATCCTTGCTAATACTATCAATTCTTATGAATTCTAATAATCGTTCTGTAGATTTTTTAATTTAAAAAAATTATGTGTTTTAGAGAAAGGGGGTGCGGGGGAGGGCAGAGGGAGAGGCAGTCTTTAAGCAGACTCCATGCTGAGCGCAGAGCCTGACACGAGGCTTGATCTCATGACCCTGAGATCACTACCTGAGCTGAAACCGAGAGTTGGACGCTCAACTGACTGAGCCACCCAGTACCCCCTGTAGATTCTTTTAGATTTGACCAGTTCACCATCACACCATGTGTGAATAGTGACAGATTTGGTTTTTTCCGTTGTAAGCCTCATACTTTTAGTTTTTTCTTCTTGCCTTAGTACACTGGTTAGAACCTCCATCATAGTGTTTTTGAAAACTAATATTACTTTTTGGCCAATGTAATAACTAAAATTTATTAATTCTGTTAAACAAATGAGCTACTTTCTGAAACAAGAGTATAACATTCAAAACGTAGAAAAAGTGAATCTATCAAAAGCCTCTCTCCTACTCCAGACCTTCATTTGCTTTTTTTTTTTTTTTAATTTCAACATTTTAACAATTTTTATTTGTACTGGTATGGACTTATTAAATATCACCTTTTCAATGACCTGTTCAATGTCTGTCCTTTCGTCTCCTAGAAGTCAGATGCCTTCTTGTACTTGTCATATTGCCAGCACCTAGCTCTGTGTCAGCACACAGAGCACGTTTGCTGAACGAATAAGTGAGAATCTGTTTTGTGGATAGCTTGTTAAGTTTAAACTGATTTCTCTTAAGAATTTCTTCCCCACAAGACGGCTTTCCCCTCATATTCCACGAGAATTTTTTTTAATCAAGAAAGAGGGGAATGTGCCAGCAGCTGCTAGACTTTCATTGGCTTGTTAAAAATACCAGATCTCTGTCCCTCTCTTTGACCCGCTAAATTGCAAACTTTATCCAGTGGAGCTTCACCATGTCTGTGTTTTTAAAGCTCTACAGGTAGCTCTGATAATTAGGTTTGGAGACCAATACAGAAGATTCACCTATGCAGAGATTAGTAGGATTGTATAATACAGTGATTTTCAATCCTGGCTGCACATTAAACCCACCCAGGAGCTTTAAAAAAAATCCTGGTGCCTAGCCCTTACCCTGGGCCAACTGATCTGAATCCCTGCAAGTGTGGTCCCTGGCATCTGTAATTTTTAAAAGTTCCCCAGGTGATGGTGGGGGTTGGGGGGTGCGGAGCAGGAGGTAGGACTTCCAAAGGGATGTTCATGACCTGGATTGTGGAGACTGTTTCATAGGTGTGCACATATGTTAAAACTTACCAAATTGTAAACTTTAAGTATGTGCAGTTTATGCATGTCAATTATACATCAATAAAGCTCTTTAAAGAAAAAACTCCCAGGTGATTCTCACACACGGCAGTGGTTGAGAATCATTGTTTTAACAGAAAGAGCACACGACTGGAAGGTGGAAATTGGGTAGACTTTCATCTGCCAACATGTAAGCGACTTCCTCCCCTCTGGACCTCAGTTTCATTCTGGTCAGTGGGTTCAGTTTTTTCCGGGGAGTACTTGTCGTCTCTGACATTTTGATTCTTCTGCTCAGTCTGTGTGCGCCAGGCTGTCGTTGCACCTCCTGGCCACACGAGGGGACTGTGCAGCTGGCTGCCTCTTCCTCTCAACTGAACACTCTTGTGAGGTCAAAATAGGCTGGTCAGGCATCTGTCTTTCCCTTCTGTCTGTCCTTTGGTGAGCGGGAGCCCCACTTCTGAACCACCATCTTCAGCTGCCCCCACCCAGTGGTCCTGCTGCAGGTGAGCCTTTCTTTTTAAGCAAAGTAAATCCATGAATCTCTGAATGTACAGAACAGCTTTTAAAAAGATTCCCCAGATTGCTTTGAAAATATCCAGCTCCTGCAAAGCAATTAAAGTAGGATCTAATTGAAGTATATGGATGCAGACCTCCATATGTGTGTATATACATGTGTGTGTGTGTCTATCAGTAAGCACATTGACAGTATTACTTTACTGCCTCTAAGAAAATGATCCATTCGTACAAAAGACAGTTATGTATTTGTTACAGCTACAATTTTGAGATTCTTCAGGCAGTAAATATTGCTTAGGTGAAAAATGGAATCAAGGTTAACAAACAAACCAAGTCTTTTTCCATTGTATATATGATATAAAGTACTTAAATGAGTAAATGTGTGAGACAAGAGTGTGTGTGTGTTTATCTGTCTCTGTGTTTCCATATCCTTAGGTGAACAGATTGGCTAAATATTTTAGAACGTAATCTATTCAGACACTCTGAGCATTAATCTCTATTTTTCTGGGACCTGACAGGGAAAAACAATCTGGATGCCAGTCAGAAGAGACTGACTAGAACTGATGTTACAAGATGATCTGGCTATGTCATAAATGTTGATAAATGCATTATTTTAAAAATCCACCTCAGAAATAAAAAAGCAAATGCTTTTCTAAGTGCAACAACAGCAGGGAATTATTTGAAAAAAGGAAAGACCCCTCCCCTTACACAGAATTTTCCTAATAATACTATGAAACCTTAACATTGAGTAGCTCTGTCTTTTATTTTTTGTCTTATTGCATGTTTCTTCCATTTTGATTCCTAAATTTCAGATTATTCTATGAGCCAGTCACCACACCTTGTGGGCATACATTTTGTTTAAAATGCCTTGAAAGATGCCTAGATCACAATGCAAAGTGTCCATTGTGCAAAGATGGTCTTGCACAGGTAAGACATTCTTTCTTTCTTGATTAGGTTAGCTTATCTGCAACTGGAAACTAAAATGGTGTCCTGTTGGCTCCCAAGCCAGTGCACTGTGCTTGGGCAAAATACTCCCTCAGGCCATCTGTCTATTTTTCCTGTCTTAGAGCTCCCCCTCCCCTCTTCACAAAGTCCTTCAGGAAAATGGGGCAACATCTAGGTTTTTAGGAACTGTAAATAGTGAAATTAATTTGTGATGGAAACAAAAGTATTAAATTGATGGTAAGTAGGGATCCTGCTAGGTGCTAAGCCTATCATGGCACCTGATTCACTGCAATCTTAGGTGAATCCTCTGTCCTCTCTGGGCTTGGTCTAGATGAACTCTGATGTCTTCTCATCATCAATGTTTATTCTGTGGTTTGAAGGGATCACTCCCAGGTCCCCAGAAAAACCTCACAGACCTTCAGTGTGGTGTCTGTTCCACGCCCCACCCCCAGGAGCTGCTGTACTTATTAGCAGACATTTGGCTACTTGAAAAGCTCTGCAGCTTCCAGAGCCTCTGAAAGGAACCACACAGGCTGCCACCATTGTTTTTCAGGTGGACCTGATGGAATTGCCTATAGCACAGGAATACCTGGGAGCCCATCTTGTTTTCCCTCCCTTGGGGACTTGTGCAGGACACATTACAGTCAATCTTAATGTTCCTTGACCCCTGTTGTCCCCGAGGAGAGGCCAGAGATGCAAGACTATCTCTAGGTGAATGTAGGTCCAAAGAAATCACCTGTTGAGCTTTCCCAACACCCAAACATTTGAACTAAGGGAATGGAGTGAAATAATCATCCAGGATAACCCTGGGGGGCGGTGTGTGGGGTTGGAGGGGAGGCTCCCTTGTCACACCGTGCCTAGATCAGGAAGTGGGATCTGCTGGCCTGATTGTGGGTGAGGAGCCCATGGTCCTTACACTTAAACAATACATTTGTGTTGTGGTGACACTACAATATTCAAATAAGCAGAAAGAAGAAAAATCTACTCGTGCTCAGCACCTGGAGAAAACCACTGTTAACATTTTAGTATGTGCCTTTCCTGGGTTTTTGTTTTAACATCAGCGGAGGAGTCTGGATTAGCAACCTCCTGAGTCATTGCTTTTCCCCAATGACTGGGACTGGGCAAAGCAGTTGATCTCCTGCTGTCAGGCGATGGCAGTGGCTGAAAAGGCATCCTAAGAGCAGATGCTGTAGGGTCCCAGACTCAGAGGCTAGAAAATATTCTCATCTATCTCTGTGTATTGACACAGGGGCGCACTTATACCATTTCCAAGAAAAAAAAATATTTTATGCCAATCATGGTCACTGCAGAATAGACACAGATAGCTCATACTCGGAAAGGAAAAATGGTCTCAAACCAGCAGTTTTATACTCAGGAGCTCCCCCTGCTGGGTCTCTGTGAGTAGTGTCCATAGCAAGCAATTCGCCGATGTTTTTAACTCTCATTGTCTGGTTCACACAGTTGAATTCCCACTGCTTACGGATCCCTGGATATGCATGGAGTAGGGGTGTTTGGGAGGATAGTATTAGTGACAAATGGACCTGAGTGTGGTTCTGAAATCATGGTTTATAACATAATTTCAGTGATAACCTAGATGGTATATCTAAAAAACAAATAGACAAAATCACCAGTATTTAGCTGTCTTGTTTTGTTTTTAGCTAAAGTGGGGATGGGGGGGATGAATATTTAGACTGGCAGTATCCAGAAGCCAAGCATTGGGGTGGGGTGCGGTAGGGGTGGGACAGGTCAGGAAAAGATCAATGTTTGAAAGTGGCTTTTTCATTCCCCAAACATTTTGACCAGACTTTCAGTATATCCCAGATGGAGACCATTTTTGCGAGCTTGTAAATGCAGTAACCAGAAAAAGGAAAGGGAAAGATCCGGCCCCCCCCTCTTTTTTTGACAAGAACATAATCTCAATTTGAGTGTTTTAGGGAAGCTATGAGATTTATAGAACTTCAATGCAGGTCTTTTTCCCTTGTTAAAATATTTTGCCTAATTATAAAAGTAATTAGTCACATGTAACATCCAGAGAATATATGCATTATGATGTTACCAGCTGCTAATGTGTGGGTCCAAATTACTCCAATATGTGGGTCATTCAACTATTCTACTGATTACATCAGATGCGCTTTGTGTTTTTCTGAGGACTGCATAATATCTCATTGCCCTGTTCCCCCATAGTGCTTGGCATCCAGAAAATATAGCAAAAATGTCATAATGGAAGAGCTAATAGCTAAATTCCTTCCAGAAGAACTCAAGGAACGAAAGCGGCTTTATGAAGAAGAAATGGAAGAACTTTCTAAGTATGTACATGCGCGTTTCTCTTTTTTCTCCTTTCAGTTTCACTTACAGCAGCTCATAGAACTGAATATGCACATTTCTTCCTAACTTCTCACTTGGCGATATCATGTTGGTAGCTTGACATTGGCCTTGGTGAGAGTGTCTACGCTATAGAAATTGGCAAATGCTATAAGCCAGAGCTTCCCCCAACCAAAAGCCAGTTGTTCAGCATTTACCAGCACACCACTGAAGAAGCGTAAGTCAAACCATCAACCAGGTCACATCTTGGCACTTGTAACTGGGTGTTGCTGGTAGGAGTAAATAGGAGTAGCTAAATCGGGGGAACTTACAGCATGTACAGAAGACTGCAAATACTTAAGAAGGTGCTATGAGGTAGGAGTAAATTGGAGTAGCTAAATCAGGGGAACTTATAGCATGTACAGAAGACTGCAAATACTTAAGAAGGTGCTATGAGGTTAAGAATTTTGGTGCCAGCCAGACCTGGGCTTGTGACCCACTTCTGCCACAAAGCAAGTATACTTCAGGGCCTTGGGCAAGTCACTTGACCTCTCTGGACCTCAGTTTCCTCATCTGTAGCTTGGGAATGATCAGTTCTTACCTCACAGACTAGTTATGAAGATCAAATGGGTTGTAAGTACTTAATGAATGGCAATAGTGAGACTGCTGCTTGTTCTGTGCTTCCTTTGCCAGGGACGGGGGAGATGCAGGGTAAGGATGGGGATGGAAGTAGGCCTCTTCCGCCCGACTGGAAGAGCAGCTCGCTTAGAAAAAGCAGGAGGCAGTCTCTCACTTCCGCCTCTCCCACTGCTGCCCTCCCACCTCCCGATCCCCAGTGGAATCCTCACAGCATTCTGGGGGCGAGGTGCCCGATGGCAAAAGCTGCTCTGGTTTTCTGCCCACCCTGTAGAGAACATTTCTAAACTGCCACCAGTTTGTCTGAGTGAGCCTCTCACTTCAAATGATATGTTTTCCTGAGAAGCTAGAAATGAAATCCTTTGTTTTCTCATTGACTTATAGTAGATCTACTCAGAGCATCTTTATTTCTGATTCTTAAATTCGCCTTGAGTTTCTGTGAGCCCTTCTCTCCAATATCATTTAATGTCTAATTAATAAACACTGGAATATACTAGAGGGATATCTATTTAAAGAAATCGTAAACTGAATACTTCGGGGATTTGGGCAGATGGTCTTATATCTATTGATAGGTTCCAGTATTGGATTTACCAGACAAAGATGAGAACAGTGATCCACGAGGAGCTGGCCCGGTTGGTGGTTTCCCATTAGGCTGTGTGTCTGCTTCTTCATGGGCACTTGTTGAAGGGCAAACTCCTGGGTCCTAACTCCAGAGCTAATATACCAGTATCTTGGGGGGGTCCTGCAGCCTGTTGTCTGGATTTAAGGGCCCCTGGTGCCTGATGCACAGGAGCGTTTGAGCATCCGCTGGGCTAGATTACACTTGCCTCTCTGTTGCTCCCTCCTCCTTCTGGCTGGGCTTGCCAAGCAGATCTCCTGCAGGCTTTGCAGATTTGAGATGCTGATGGAGACCTTGCACAGATTTTTCCACCATCCCCCTGGAGGGCTGGGTCCACCTTTACCACCAGCCCGACACCTGAAGAGATTGTTCTGAGTAGAGAGCATGAAAAAAAAATCTGAGGTATAGCTATCGCCCACAATGTGAAGGTACTAGAGGATGTCTTTAGCCAAATTAGAATGGACAGAATATCAGTTTCAATCTCTCAGCGCTTAGGCTAACCTCTGCACCAGGTAATGGGACTCAGCCCATAGTGTTGGTTGCATCTCAGAATTTTTTTATCAGCCGTCAAAACTTGAGGTCTCCTTGCCTTCCTGTGGGGGAACCACAAGGTGACGTTTGACCAACCTTTCTGTGTTCTGCTCCATTGCTTTGAGAAATCCACGTCATTTGCTCTTCCTGACAGCTTAAATAAGAACGTGCCTATTTTCGTGTGTACTATGGCCTATCCCACCGTTCCTTGTCCCCTGCACATCTTTGAGCCTTGTTACCGTCTGATGATTCGTAGATGCATTGAGACAGGCACAAGGCAGTTTGGCATGTGCCTTGGAGATCCTGTCAAAGGGTAAGTGGAGGACTATGTAGAGTGAAGGGAGGTTTGGGTGGAGAGGGATTTGGGTTTACTTTGGAGTGCTCCCCGGAGATGCGGAGGCACAGCTCCTGAGATTTGGTCAGTTCATGACCATGAGTATTTGTAGAGACCAGGGTCTCCTTGGCCCCTAGTATACCATGTAATAGGCTGCCTATATAAAGGAACCCCAGGATTAATCTTTTGTTAAAAGAGTGGTATATACTATAAATTTGTTTTACTATAAGACTGTGGGCCCTGGAGTCACACTGCCTGGGTTTATATTCTGGCTCCAGCCTTAGAGCAAGTTTGACTTTGGGCAAGTTACTTCTGTGACTCAATTTCCTTACCTTAAAGTGGGTACAATAATAGTGCCTACCTCATTGGGTTTGTTGGGAGGATTGGTGAGTTAGTGCATATAAAGCACTGGAGCGCAGTAGCTAATACATAGCATCTGCTCAGTACATGGGAGCAGTTATATTATTGCATAAAGATTTTTCTTTGCACAGGCACTGCCTGTTGTGTAGTTGCTGCTGTGGACCCCAGGACAGGCAAATAGGCAGAAGTCCCTTGAGGCACAGCCTGGGATTACAGAAATGGCTCAGGGCCAGGCCACAGAAATGACTCAAGAATTTACGTCTTTACTCATACCCTATTAAGCAGGTTCGCGGAATACGGCTGCATCCTGGAGATCAGAAATGTTCAGTTCTTTTCTGATGGCCGCTCGGTGGTGGACAGCATAGGCAAGAGGCGCTTTAAGGTCCTCCATCAGGGCCAGCGAGATGGTTACAATACAGCCGACATTGAATACATTGAAGACCAAAAGGTGAGGGTGGCCAGTGCCAAGAATCCCAAAGCCAGGTTATCCCTGTAGCTTGGCACACAAAGATGTTTGCAAAAGAATTTCTCAGCACTGTTGGGGGCCTTGGGATTTCTCACCAAATTGTGCCAGCAACACTGAATGCTGCTGGATTGCTGTTCGATTGTAGAATGGCACCAGGAGCACCCCGTGTCCTGGCTTTCCCTGCTTAGTTGCTGAGTTGTATTCATGCATGAGAAATGCCAAGCCAGACCAACAAACCTGGGGCCCATTCATCCTAGGAGTTAGGTCTCTGCCAGAGATACCAAAGGATAGATCTAGAGTGATCTCTACACATGTGCATTTTATGTATCAATTTATTCATATTTTCCAACTTTTTCTTTTGAGATAATTGCAGATTCTCACGTACATTTGTATTTTTTTTAAAGATTTTATTTATTTATTTGGCAGAGAGCACAAGCAGGGGGAATGGCAGGCAGAGGGAGAGGGAGAAGCAGGCTCAGGGAGCCTGATGTGGCACTCGATCCCAGGACCCTGGGATCATGACCTGAGCCAAAGGCAGACGCTTAACCGACTGAGCTACTCAGGAGCCCCCGTACGTTTGTATTTTTAAATGTGCAGCCTGGTTAAGAGTTCTTCCCTATAGCTCATCATACCAAAAAGCAGAAAGATAACATGTCCAGTTAATCCTTGGTGTTCTGGACTAATGGGTAGAAGAAGAGGTAAATAATCCCATGTTCATTTATATTTACATTCACTACATAGTACAAGATTAGTACATGTTTGATCAATGAATGAATGTATTTGACTTGCAAAGTAGAGTCACACAGTGAGACACAGACACACTCATGTCTCTTTTCCCAGTGAGCAATGGGAAGCCAGAGATAAGACATGAAAAGGAGAGAGGCATAAAACAGCATAAGCTAGTTTGACAGCATGCCTCCACTCAAGCCAGTTGGCATCTCTGGTTTTCTGTCTGTCTTGCTGTTTCCGCTAATTGACCCAGAGGAAACTTTATCCTTCCTCCACCTTCAGCAGTATTTACACACAGCCTACCCTCTGGCTGAGGAGCCTTTCACACGCCACACAGGAGAAGGCCGGGTGGGTGAGCCTTCCTAGGGAGGCAGGCTGGATGCCCAAAGGGAGTCAGTGTCAGCAGCAGCTTCGGGGGTGGTGGAGAAGATACAGAGTGCTTCATTTCCACTTTGGTACTTTCAGGTTCAAGGAGACGATTATGCTGAGCTCATGGGATTACATAATTGTGTCTATGAGCAAGCATCATCATGGTTTCATTCGCTCAAATCATCTCTGAAGAATCGGATACTCAGTCACTTTGGTCCAATGCCAGAGAAAGATGCTGATCCCCAGGTATATAAAAATGTCTCTTTGTAATGGACTGTCGCCACCAGATGAGAGATCCTAGGGTTTGGGATTAGATGGGTGCAGAGTTGCCATTTGGCAGATCAAGAGCAGAGAGGGAGATGGATCCAATTTGGTATTGTTTGGCTGGGCAGTGGGCATCATGGGTAAGACCCAAAGGATCCTGAGTCAGAATTGGAGTAATAAAGTAAAGCAGTAGGAACTTGGATCCAAGACAGGTTTTGAGAGGTAAGTCAGGTGAGAGATTGGGAACACAGATGCCATCAACAGAAGAACCTTCAGTGGGAGTCCAGTTTCACACCACGGTAATGTGTGGGAGTGACATGATTCATGCAAAGGCCAAGCTTAAGAGAAGGGTATCCTGGGAGCTGAGACCAAAGGTTTCCATTTCTGGGGAACTTCATAACCCTCTCCCCCATTGCTGCAGGAGCTAGGAGATGGGACCAGCTACCTTACAGGATTCCAACTGCAAGACCCCAGAATCTTGTCACACCTGGGTCCCTCCCTGCTTAGCAGGGGTGAGCAGTTCCTGAGCAAATAGGCCCAATCTTTAAATTTACCCTTGGCTGAATTATACTAGAAAGCAGTTCATTAGGTTCTACTGGATCAGTCTGTTTCCTGGGGGGACATGTCCACTTGAGAGATCAAGCTGCAGATCAGAAGCTCTTCAGGAAAGTGGAGATAAGTTTCACCAAGCTTTGCTTGCCTGGTATAAATCAGACAATACTCTCTCTCTAGGACAAGGCTGGAGATAACCTAGTCAAATACTTGCCCCCGATCACCTCTCCTACATTCTGAGCTGGCTCCCCTACATCATCACCTCCATGACGTCCTTGATTCTTTACTTTCACTCATTCCCGACTCTGTCACAATAGTAAAACAATATGTATGTTCTGATTTCCCTGCCAGGAGGCTGGTCCTTACCGCTCTAGCTGTGTGACCTTGGGTAAATCACTTCTCCTTTCTCAACCTTTCTCCCAGCTCTGCAATGAGGGAGGTGGATGAGGAGGTCTCCAAAGTCCCCGCCTCTTACATCTGGAGTTGTAAAACACCAGTCTGTTCCCTAATGGGCTGAAATGTCTCACTTTCTCCAGACCACAAAGGTGGCTCTTTCCCGCCATGCAAAGGCATCGTGAATGTTGAAGGGAGAATGGCCAGTCAGTGCTTCCCAGTGACCCAGTTCCTGGCTCTGGGCCACTGTGACTCAGGACTACATCAGAGCTCTGAGCAAGCTCATGATCAAGTGTAATGTTCCCCTTCACCTTCTGGAAAGCATTCTCCCTCAGTCAGGCAGAAGGTAGCAATCAGCAATGATACAGCATCTTCCACAAGAGAAAACACAGATGCCACAGAGTGATTCATAAGGGCTCGATGACACAGAAAGCTGAAATCTTGGGTTCATTTCCTTTCTTATTAGAACTGTTATCATGTTGCTTTGGCAGCAGCAGCAGCAGCAAAAAAAAAAAAAAAAAAAAAAATCATCCGGTTTGATCCAGTCAGGGCTGCAGCCCCAGTGGTCCCATTAATAAGAATGTTCTAAGCCTCGGGAGGAGATTTCTCAGAAACAGCCACAAGTATTAACATCAGCTTAAATATCTTTGTTAATGGCCCTGGGAAAGACAGTTTAGAATGTGTCAATTTCATATTCAGAACTAAAAATAGGAGGGAGAGCCTGTTAGAGCTCACAGTGAGGGACAAAAAAGAATTCAAATGTAGCTACAGGCACAGAGAAGCCAAGAAGGCAGCAGGGTTTGAGGAGAATCAGGCGAGCCAGTTTGGAGGCAAATAGTCCCACATGTAGGTGGTCTGACCAGAATGGGGTTCTGTATAGTCCTAAACCAACCTTCTGAAAGTTGTGAGCCGAGAGCTCATTTCAGGCTTTGTAGGAAGTGAGTCGCCAGTGTCTGAAATGTGTGCTTGAGAAGCTGCTAACAAACAGAATTTCGGTGAAGGAGTCATGTGGGACGGGAAAGCTCTTTATTAAAAAAGAAACCTGGGGACCAAATACATTTCTAATGGGAATGTGTTCTCTAATTGGAATTTTTGCGAGAGTGGGATTGCTGTGCTTTGGGGCTGTGGATCATAGGCTTCGGTTTCAGAGGAGAAGCTCGCTGTGGCCTATGTATGTGGCCATATGTACATGGCATATGTGGACTATATTGCCTTCAACCAGAAGCAGAGAAATAAAGGGAGTTAAGAGACATGCCAAGCCCAAGGGATCATGGGAACTGAATGCCCACATGTGGCATGTGTCAGTCCAAAGAACCTAAACAGAATCTTCGAAATGGAACAGACTGAGTAGCAGATATTCTAGCTCACAGAATCACACTGGCTAGGAGGTATAGGGTATCTGTTAGGATATTGATGGGTTTGCTTTGACAACTGCTAATAAAAATAATTGTAGCTTGAACCAGATAGAGGGCTAAGGCAGCTCTCTTCCATGAGATCATTCAGAGATCCAGTCTCCTTCCTCACAAAGCTCTACCATCATTAGGATGTTGCCCCATCTTCCTGATAGAAGAAGGCTGATCATCACCATGTTCATGCTCTAGCTGGGCAGAAGAGAGAAAGAGTAAGGCAGCGCATGACCCAGAAGTTACACATAGAACTTCCCTTTACATCTCCTTAGCCAGAACTTTGTCTTGTGGCCTCCCCTTGCTGCAATGCAGCCTTTGTTTCTGGGTGGCTACATGCCCGGCTCAGATAAGGGGAAGTAGACCTGGGGGTAATTAGCAGCGTCTGCCATACACAGAAGCAGTTCCACCTGGGATGTTTACCTTGCAGCTTGGGAAACCTGCAGACTGATCTCACTTCTGTGGGAATGGGATGAACCCATTGTGTTTCACTGTTGTAGGTTAACCCAAATGGTCCAGCCTGGTGCTGGTGGACGTTAGCGGTTCTTCCATTGGAAAGCCGAGCTCAGCTCCCATTCCTAGCAATGAGGTCCTTAAAGGATAGACTGAACGGTATTCGGCGAGTCCTGGCCTTTATATCCCGAAACCAAAACTAGTGAGAGTGGATTGCTGAAGAGGAGCCGCCACCCTCCCCACCGCCCTTGGGGGAGTCATCTTGTAAATATATCTAATTGCAATAACATCTTAACAGAAGGAAGTATCAAACAGGCATTTCCCTGCTGTTGATCACAGAGAGAACGTGTGTAGAAAGACCAAAAGCATGGGACCTGTTTGAAACTTTCTGTCTTAAGATGCTTCTTGACATGCTGCACAACTACATGCTCAGCAGAGGTGTTTAAAAGCCCAGAAGAAAAAAATTAATTTGATTTCGACATCAACTTTTCTGAAAGTTTAAAGTGGTTTTACTTTAATTTTCTTTCTTGCATAGTTAAGTGTGTGGTTGAAATGTGAAGCACAGATACTGATAATGTTGCTGCGTTATTTCACTGACTTGAGTTCTCATTCCAAACGGTTCAGGTTTTATACAGTATTGTGTAAAATAATGTTCATCCTACATTCTGTTTTAATAATTTATTTTTTTGCACTACTGTATCCTTTTTTTTCTACATGTATGTTTGTAACTATTTAAGTGTATGTTACTGAAAAGCCAGTTGCTTTATTTATTAACGTGGTTTACCATGTACCTAGGGGGAAGTAACAGTACTAGAAATGTGTCATTTTTGCTTTAATCGCATTTTACTATGTTTCTCGAACGAGCTCTCGAACCGTTTTTGTATCTACCCCATTGGATGCTTAAAGGAAGTTCAGAGTCACGCTGAGACTACTGATCTTCACAGGTTCCATTTGGCTTTCAGTCTGAATTCAACAATATAAGATACGCAAGGGATTTGCCATACATCATGGAATAAGCCAGGGTAAGGTAAAATAATCCATTTTCTATGTGTTACACAGAGCAGGGCTGAAGGAATGATTTTCCTTCAATGAAGAGATGAATCAGAGGGGCATCTTTTAGTACAATCTATTATAGGCATTTATCTTAACAATCTAATTACAAGTGTATATTATTTCTCCCCAGTGCAGTTAAGAGTGGGATTTTGAGGCAGGATGATTTTTAACCCTTCAGAGGGAATGGTTTTCAGTTTGACACATCATAGCCTCCATACCCCACCTCTTCTCAGGGTTCTGAGGATCACGACCTGGCTAGCATGTGTGGAAACATGTCAAGAAGGGCTGTTTGTTATTAAAAGTGCAAAGAAGCCAGTAGAAAAAGTAGAACCCTTAAAAAAAAAAAAACCAGACAAACTGTCTTTTAGGTTTGTAAATCTCTTTAAAGGAAACAATGAATCCATGATTTTATCTAAGCACTGCCTTCCCTCCCAAATGCCCAAATGCCGTAGGCCAAAGATTTCAATATAGGGGAAGAATAGTGGGAGGGGAAGGGAAGAGGGAGCTCTTTTTTAGCCTGCTTAGTGCTAGTGTGATTCCTTTAGTGCCAGGAGAACCTGAAAAATGCCGTGAGGATGGGGTGTCACAATGACAGGGTGAAGAGATTAGGATAGGCAAGAAGTGAGTCCTGCCATTCGCACGGTCGTGCACATTATCCCCCCACGTGATGCTGGATGGATGCAGTGTGGCCCATCCACCCCATTGAGGAGAGGTTAGTGCCTCAAGTAACCAACCTGACTTCTTCCATCACCACCTCTGGCCAGAAACAGAGAAGGGAGAATGAGATGATCCAGGCAACAGAAAAGAGATTCACGTAAGCAGAAACCAAATGATCTTTTCTGCACTTGCTAAATGGATGCTATTTTGTCAGGGCATTATGTTACCAGGCTTGATGTTGCAGCCAGACTAGGCTAGTGAAGAATGGAAGTATAGGCATGGTTATTGCCCAGGCAAATTCTGCAAGGCTCAGGGAGCAGGAAACTAAAGGCTCCCCCTCCCACTTGGTGCCCAACCATGAGGTCGTAGCATAGTCCTAGTAAAATATTTTCCTGTCATCTAGTGTAAGTGCAGCAAAGAAATTGTCGTAAGCATCTCCTCTTGGTAGATGTTTTTGTTTTATGATTTAACTCTTTCTGGGCCCCAGGTTCCTCATCTAGCAAATGGTAGTGATCAGTGCCACATAGAGGGTTGCTATGAACGTTATATAAGGTAGTATATATGTAAATCACTTAGCAGAGTGCCTAGCACCTAGGAGACGTTCGAAAAATAATAGTTTTGATTAGGTTATTCATAGTTACAGAATATCATCGGGGCCCACATTTGCATAAAACAGTTTACACACAGTACCCATATCTACCCCTTTAAATGTAGTTGGGGGGATCTACACCACTGATTCTCGGACCATAACTTGATGCTTTACAGTTAATTCCTTTTGGAGCCAAGTCTGTTTGGGAAAATGAAAAGACTAGAAAACAAATGAGGGTCAGAGACAAGGGAGACTTCTGGGCCGGTACATTTTTCCCTATTTCAATAGGACTAAAAAGTAGTCCTCTTTGGAGGTCTGGAATTTCAGATATAATGGAAGCCTTAAGTTCTAGCTCCATTAGAATAACCAGCTCATCTTGTTCTCCAAAAAGTATTAAAAATCTTGGTCATGCCAGAGTGAACGAGTTTTACAATCTGACTTTTGTGCTTATTAGTTCATGGGGTTTCTTTATGCTGCCGCAACAGAAATCTTTTGTGAACCTACTATGTACCAGGCACTGAGCCAGGCGATTCCAGGTTCATTCCATGAACATACATGAGTCCGTGGAATCGCTTATTTTCCATATCAAACCCTGTGAGATCAGTTACTATCCCCATATTATAGATGAGAAGGCTGAGGCCCTGCAATGTTAGACATTTTGCTCAGGTAACACAGCCAGTTAATAGCCAAGCTTGATTTTGAACCCCTTACTTTGCAGATTTTTAACATTTTAAACAGTTTATGTTACACATCATTTTATTAGATAGGCATGGCAACCGAGTCACAAAAGTGAGCCCCAGAAGCTCATAATTCAAATGGCAGTTGAGGGTTAAGTAAAATTCAGTTACCTCACACATCTTCACTTAATCTAGGTAGAAAGGGAAGTTTGATTTTTTCAAAATAAAATTCTACATTATAGAATATTCCATGTTGATAAATGAGAATCTAACTCCAGCAAACATAGATCTTGGCTGGGCAGAATTGCATTGTACTCTCAGTAGCTTAAATACACATTTGGGTTGTTTTCTAGCAAGCTTTTGTTTCAGCAGTGGTTGGAGGTAAGATGCAAGGCTGATAAAGCCTTGGCTTTCTTTGGGATGTACTTGAATGGGTAGTCATTTGAACATGACCATTTTCACTACATATAAATTGATTTTGCTGCCAAGCTTGAGTATGAAGAATGTACAGAGAAAAGACGTAAGGCTAAATCTAGGCCAGAAGTACAAGACTTCCCCCTTGGTAGATCGTGCCATTTATTTGGTTAATTTTCTTATTATAACCTAGATTATACTTAGATTATTTTCTGTGTGTGTGTGTATATGTGTGTATATATGTATATATGTGTGCATATATATATATATATATATATATATATATTAGGTACCAAGCAGATATTATGCCTTTCTGCTTTGTACTGTACTACTGCTGCTAGCTAATAACCAGCAAAATGTAGAAAATGAAAAATGATAAACTAATTTTCTATAGGCAACTTGGAGAAAAGGGTGCCTGCCCCTGACTTAATGGGGCAGAGAACTGACTATTTTGAGAATTTGCCTTTTCTGAAGGCTGAGTGCTTCTAGCCCCATGGCGTTTCCAGCTCTGCCTGTGGGGCTGGCCTGGGCTCAGATAATCCCCTGTGACTGGCTGTCGGAGTAGTGGAGCTCCTGAGGCTGGGTTCACAGCACCCAGAGGTCTCTTAACTGTCAACAGATGGCATGCTGTTGATGGACCAGAATCCATCAGGGACTGTGTTCCCTCTGCCAACTCCCATTTCCAAGTTGGGAGCTTCATTCAAGGACTCAGTTCTTGAGTTCCCAACATGTTGACTTTGCATCCATTTCTCTTTATCGAGGCAAAATCATAGCAGAGGTGTATAATAAAGATGCAAATGCAAGGCAGCCCAAATAATGGAAAAGGACAGATTTTTCAGCCCATCTGGGGCTTGAGGAATGAGGTTTTGATTTAGGATTGAAAGCAGTTCTGAAAAGCAGCCAGCTGCATGGGCTACAGTTTGTGCCCCTTCCTGAGTGCAGAGAGAAAAAAGGAAAAGGAGTCACGTAAAATGTACGCATTCAGTTCCTCTTAGACGGATAGCTCCCACTGTTCAACTGTTTAATAACCTGGGTGGTGCACATCCAGAGGTGAAATGAAGTTGTTTTCACTTACAAATGGTTATTTTTCAATGCGCTAAGTTAACCTTGAGAGAGAAGTGCCTCTAATCTCTGTTCCTGGTGTCCTTTTAAAGCTTTTGCTTCATGACTGTAGCAGTTAAAAATTTGTCGCAGCAAATGTGATTAACAGAAGTTTACAGAGCAATGCTGTAGCTGGTGTCCCGTTAAAAATTGCCTAACATTTATCTATTGTCAAAGCAACAACAATAACAAAATAAAAGGAGAGCAAATAGGTCAATGTGGCGTCATAGGCTTATCTTCGATAAACTAGTTCCATCATTTCAGGCAGTCCTCAGTCATGCCAGGATTAAAATATCAAGCAGGCCACTCAAACAGTGGCAAATGTGTCCGTGTGTCTGTGAGTCCGGTTGTTTGTTCAGCAGCCATTTTACTTTCGCACTGTAATAAACTGAAAGGGGAATTAAGATAATGCTTCCCCCCTCCCCCGTTGCTATTCAACTACCTCTATATGCTTGGTTTCTCTTTAGGGGTTTCTTTCTTCCAAATCTGTAAAAAATGCTGTTTCAGCTCATCTATATTGTAATAGCAATGTGATTGATATAGACAGTTGCTGTGAAAGCTGTTCATTCTTTAAAAATGTTTCCTATTGTCTCACTTTATATCTAACAAAGCTCTACCCATAACCTTAGGGCGAGAATTACCTAGATAAGTTATCATTTTGTTGGAAGCTGAATAGAAGGGAAAGCTATTGGACCATCTATTTTGTTCTTGTTCCTGTTGCCTATAATACATTTGACCAGAAGATCTTTCAAGGAAGTAGACCTGAACTCAGACAGTAAGCTGTCACGTATCTGACAGGCCGGCGTGAGCTAGTTAATGTGACTGATGTGTTCTGAAAACCTGGCCAGAAATTGTTTTTTAAAAATGCATAAATTGTTTTTAAAAAAAATCTTGTTATTTGAAGACTTACATTGAAGCGTTTTGCCAATAATCCACCCCTAGTCTGTAAATCCGTTCATATGTTGGGTTTGCTTAAAGCAGAATACACTACCTACTGTTTTCTTTGCCAATATAAAATGTTTGTGAAAAGCAAGTTACGTGTTTTTATTTGCGTCAAACCGTTTTTCCACAATAGGCTAAAGCTAAGGCCCAAAGTGCGAACCTTTTGACAGGAAAACTGGTAAAACTGACTGGGACAGTGAGCAATATTGACTAAGCTGAGTCCAGCAAGAGCGATTCAGTAACATCTTTTCAGTACCAGTTCTAAGTCTCCTGCCATCGACGACCTTACGCAAGTTCTGTCTCGCCCCTGGAAAACAAAATCCAAGTGGAGTGGGACGATTAAAATGATAGCAAATCCCACTTGGCTTGACCTTTGTGTAACAGGGTCTTTGGGGTAATTGAGAAAAATGAGAGCTCCTGACCAAGTAGATCCCAGAGGAAACGCTTGGCTCTGTTGGACTTCTGTGCCCAGTCCGCCACTCTCTGGTGGTCAGGAGATTGAGCACACCCCGGCCAAAGGCACAGTCTTCCCTCCCAGGCAGTCTGGCCCAGAATGCCTGCCTAACTCCCTCTGGAGAACTGCTTCGGGTCATCTAAAAAGAAGGTCTTGTTTGCAATTGCCCTCCAGGCCTTGAGCAAAGCCAAAGCCAACACTTTCTGCTTCCTCTCCTCTGGGATCCACTCTGGCTCCGCTCCTGTGAGTTCTCTAGGGCCAAAGATGCCTCCCTGGAAGGAACTCCCCCAGGCGCCAAATGAGATCAGAGCAAGAGAAGGAAAGAACAAATGCCCTAGACCCACAGGCTACCAGATACTTCCACTTTCCCTTCCTCTCTCCGATGATTTCATCACTCCCAGGAGGGGCTGAGGTGGGACGGGAAAGGGCCCCGGTCAGTACTCCTGATGTTGGCTTCTTCCAAGTAATGCAGAAATTCCCCAGCTGGCCTTGTCCACGTTCAGCCCAATGTGAAGGCATGCCCTGGTCAAGGCAGGAGAGTGCAGGCCCCGAGGAGCCCTGCCTCTGGATCTCTGAGCCCCCTTCTCCCACCCTTTCCGGTTTTCTGTGACTGCCTTTCCCTTTCCAACCTATCCTGCCATTGCCCAGCCGTCCATGTTTACTGCCCACTTTGATACACATGTACTAGCAAATAGCATCGTTGCGTTAAAAAGCCCCGAAAAACCCTTTCCTCCACTTACGGAAGTGCTGCCCCCCCCCCACTGCAGAGCGCTGCCTAGCTTCCAGTGAGGCCCTATTAGCCAATTAGCCATTCCTGGATGCCACGAAGTGCAACAAATTAAGTCCTGAAATAACCCACTCACCCGAAGTCCGGTTTTGCGCTAAAAAGCTTGCTGCTTGCATTTTAGAGATACAGCAGAGTCGGGGTGGCGGCAGGGGAGATCACGGCCCCTTTGGCCCATCGGGATACCTGTTGCCACCCCCAGCGAACAGCTACATTCTCAGGGCCACGTGCTCCTCCCGCAAGGCCAAACGAGCTCTTTCACAAGGGGACCAGGGGTAACAGCGAACACTGTGCCCACACGTGGCGTCAGGTCCTTCTGCTTGGGCCGTCCACGGGGATGAGTTCACTTGGACATGGTTAACCGGGACGACTGGAGTGGCTCCTGAAGTCTGAACGACGGAAGTCGTCTCCTCCTGGGCACAACTTCATGCCTTCTCTTCTCACATTACTGGGTTTGGTCTTCCAGCCCGATCGGGGAGGCCGTTTATGCCCAAACCCAAACTGCGGTCGTGTGTTCCGGAAACAGAGGAGTCCTGTTCTTATACCCCGAGGCATCCCCGGGCCCAGCTAATGTCCACTGAATGGTCACTGCATGCCAGGCTCTTTTCTAGGGCTTTTGGTTTTTTTTGTTTTTGTTTTTTTAAGCATTTAGCTTCTCATTCGATCCTCACTATAATCTACAAAGTAGATCTCTATCCCCAGGTGAGTAAAGTGTGGCACAGGGTGGTTATGTGACTTGCCTACGGTCCTACCGATGAAAACCCGGGGCGGTCTGATTCCAGAGCCCACAGCCTTAAGTGCTACTATGAGTCACCCATCATGCAGTGGCATGGACCCGGGAGAGCGACTCAGCGTGTGGACACCCCGTGGGGAACTTCCAGTAATAATGCCAGCAAGAGAGCCGCACCAGCAGCTCCCACGTATTGAACGTGCACTGCGTGCTGGGCACTGCGCGCAGCATGATCTGATTTAGTCCCGAGGCAGGTGCTATTGTTACTGCGGAGGACACTGTGGGGTCAGCCAGCCTGCGTTGCGAGCCCAGCCTTCGTGGCCTTCCACAAGTTGCTTTCTCTCTGAGTCACAGGGAGGAGGGTGGCCGCCCTTGATTCCTGGGTTCTAGCGTGTTCTTACTAATTCTAGTCCCCCAAAGACTTGCCCCTCTTCCGTCTTTGGAGCCCTCCTCCGTGAAGGCGTGTCTCCCTAGTGACTACAAACTCAGGGGTGGCCCCCACCGCCCCGTTGTCAACACGGCTTGCCCAGCGAGCCCCTCCCCCTCCCCACACCTGGGGCTGCTTGAATAGTCTTCTGCCACTGAAAGACAAATCGAGATTTGGAGATTCGAAAGGTAAAATGAATAAGAAAACTCAGATGCTGCAACCCCATAGTTCTAGAGTCATCCATCCCAGAGCCAGAAGAGGCCTTAAGAAATTGTCTAGCTCAGTTTCCTGCTTCCAGCCGGTATTGTTCTCCATGAGGTCACGGCCAAGGTAGAGCCTCCTATTTGGTGCACACTACACACTAGGGGGAGCTCCCAGCTGCCTGCCCCTCCGTGCCCCACGAATGTTCCGATGGGGGGTGTCTTGGAGATGGAGCTTTCATTGGGAAGAACAAAGAATTTTGTAAAAGCATCTACAGCCTATTTGGTAAGACCCCTTTGGGGATTGTTGTTTCTCTCTGGTTGCCCCGCCCCACCCCCCACTGCCTCACCTTTTCTCTGCAGATTGCTTCTCCATCCAAGGAGCTTGTCTTTCCCACAACCTGCTGCTTGGGAGAAACAAACTCTTGAGCCAGACTATTTAGGCTAGAATCTTGCTGCCGCCACTTTACTGCGTTTGCGATCCAGCAGGTGATTAATGGTTTCCTCATTTACATTTGTCCAAATATGGCCTTCCGGGGCAGGCCATCAAAACATATTCGGTCTTGCTTTTCAAAGGACAGGTCATCAAAAGGCTTCGTATATCCTGACCACCCCCCCACCCCCGCAAATAAACATTTACTGTCTTATTTAATAGGAAGACCAGAAGCAACAGACTTCAGGGTCGGTTCGTCGTAGGTCCGATGATCTCACCGAGTGCCTGGGCTGTCTCCATCTTTCCCCAATGTTCTTAAAGCCCCTGAAGGAAACAGCTTCACCGAGAAGGCTGTCCACCCAGTCCTTCCTGCCAGAGGCCAGACGCCTGGAGGGGAGGGTTTGTTGGCCCTCAGCAAGACAGGGCCGTAGGTCCACAGACAAGGAATCTTTACAGTGGAAAAAGGTGCTTTGAATTTTCCTTGGAGCAGGTTGTAACATCTTACTGGTTCCCTCATTAATGAATGAGTTAAATAAAATCTTTAACACGTGTTCAAAAAAGAAATGAAGTGGAAAAGGAGTCCTCTGGTACATCTACCTCAAAGTTCAGATGTGAGGGTGTTTGCCAGAGGCATGTCCACCTGTAGAAACTGCCAAGAAAATAAGGGCTCAGCTACAGGGGCAATTTCTAGTCACGCTCTACACGGGCATTAATACCTCCAGCTCGTTCACTTATTACTGGAACAAATGTTTACTGGACACAGATGCTAGGCATTGGGCTACAGAGAGGAATACAACACCATCCGTGCCCTTGAGAGGCTCACAACCTAGGGAGGAAAACAAAGCATCGCCCAGAGGATAGTGGTGCCTCAGAGGAAAGGCCCCTAATCTCCCTGGGGGAGGGCTTCAGGGAAGGCTTCCTGAAGAAGGTGGTGCCGGAGCTGAATCAGGAAGGATAAGAAGTTTTCCAGATGAAAGAATGGAAAGGGGTTGAGGAACATTCCGGGCGGAAGAAACATGTGAGAGAATCTGGTGGTCTTACAGAGAGATGACTGGCCAGGCATATGGAGTAGGAATACTGTGAGCAACTCAGCTTGGCAGAGCACAGGGCTGCCCGTATGGCAGGCAGGCAGGACCCAGCAGCCCCCTCAGGGCTTGGACCCGAGGAAGAGAGAGAGGGATTGGCAGGAATGAGAGCCAATGGTTACGATGTCTGAAACTCTACAAGCCAGTTGTTAAACACAGCCTTTATTTGAAAAAATAAGTTGTATAAACTTACAATTCAATAAGTCACATCAAAACCAAAGTAACAAATGCTCAAAGCTTATCACGACCTAATTACTGTACTACTTTTTACTCTTATCTATGCTCTTGAAGTTATTTAGGTCCTGCTGCATCCGTAGGGTGCAAACGCTACATAATGGCACCCCGATGAGCAGTTCTTTCCGAGTCCCTGTTCGGCGACAGGTCAGGCTGGTGGCTGAAATCAGCCAGGCTGGGGGTATCTACACCACGCTAGAAATTAGGGCTCCCCTCCCCGAGAGCTGTTTGCTACCTTTTTACCAGCACGCCACCGGCTCTGGGTCTTTTTCCTTTCTCCCTCCCAGAGCTTACCTCCGATGCCAATAGCCGTTTTCAGGGAAAAGAGCAATCCTGAAAACTAATTCACGCGCACACACGAAGCGCCAGGAGTCTAGATTTCTGGTTTGGGCTCTGAGGTCATTTGTGCTTTAGCAGAGATCTTCTGGAGACGCCAGGATGGGATGATGGAGAGAGATTTTTTTCGACCCGCCTTTTCAGAGGCTGTTGAAATGTACACGATAGACTACAATCTCCTATGCTTTTTGCTTCAGGTCATCCCTCCACACCCACCCCTTCACACCGCAAGGCTGAAACTCTCCGCCCCACTCCCCGGCTTAGGATTTCAGTGGAATTAAGCCATTGAATCCCATTCATCCCACGGAGGTCGTGACAAAACGGATTTACATTTTGTCCCCAGCCCAGGAACTCCCAGCTAGAGAGGTTTCCTTCCTCCACCACCACACAAGGATTAATAATAATAAT